GTCGTGGTAGCATTGGTTAAAACCCAAATATATGCAGGTGAAATAATTACATTCATTTACCTTTATTTAATGTGGAGTTTTATGGTCCAACCAGGTTAGATAGGTCTAGCTCACTATGTAGAAAACTAAATCTATACTTTCTCAATTTTTATTACTTAATTATTATTATTAAATATTCAAGTCAAGTAGTAAGATTAAGATTAGTAAGTAATTTGATTAGAGTAAGAGTAGTTAGATGAGTAAGATGTATTGTACCCCCTTTATAGATTTAATATGTTTTTCAAATCTTGACTTTTTAAAAATTTGTAGTGTCAAACCTTTTCCAGGTTCTACTTCTGAATGCGATAATAAAATGTTCATCTAAAAAGCTCTTTTGTTAATTTTACATAATAATCAAACTTCAAAAATTACTATTAATGGCTATCTGCAAGATATTTAGAATAAGCTTTCATACATTTCTTGTCCTCAAATTATTTCATAGAATAGAAAATTGTATTATAATAGACAACAAGGAAAGAAGGATTTCAGAAAGTTTTACAGGAATAGTGTTGATAAATTCAGACTAAGACAACTTTAAACTATCATTAAAGGTTAAAATAATAGAGCCCAACAGCCAGAAGCCATGTAATATCATGAACAGGATCAAATGAGTGTCCCGTTATCTACAAATCTATTCTTATCTAAAAACTATGTTGTCCTTTCCAATGAACTGCATTCTAATATATTAGTTTTTTACTGAAATGAAAAATATTTTTTTTTAACTAAATAATTACCCTTAAATAAACTGCCTAAATTGTATATAGAAACCGATCTCTTCACTTTACCTCTGCAACAAAGTAGTTTCCTTTTACAATGGCCTAGTACTGCGTTCCTTTTTTACCTATTTCGTTACTTTTAGGAAGAGCCAAACAACGCATATTTTTAGTCAAAGGACCTTTGGGACATTTGTTCGGTTAATTTTGACTTTATTTGTGATTTTTTTTTTTTTGAATTAATATGAAAACGAATTTCTTGATGGCTGTCAGCTAATGCGATATTGTCTGACTTTTTACTTTTGTGGCTTTCGCTATTGTTGTATAAGCCTTAGATACATTCCATTGTTTCTTATTGTATTGACATGTGTACGCCTGACTAGATACAAAAATTAACACATGGGTAATGAAGCAAAAAACGTCAAAACGTCAAACACACACGATAAAGTGATTAAATAAATACAAATATTAACAATTTCCTTTTGAAAAGTGAAGGTAGAAGAAAAATATTTAGAAAGTTTCAAAGTTGATTGCTGAAACGTACTCGTTGGATTGATTTTATTCTTACGAAGTTATTTATGAAATAAAAATACCAAACTAATTATAAAGTGTGTCAGATTCATTCAAGTAGATTAGAATTAAATAAATTTAATTTTGTGAATTAGTATATTAGCTTGAATTAAAGTTCAGTTAATTTAAATACAACTTAAAATGTGAACTTCATTAAACAAAATATATATGGAGTGTGTGTACGGGATTAGTATAGTATTGCTTACATATAATAACCATATAAACCTATCATTTGGGATCAGAATTCAATATAAATTAAAAACAGCAGAATTTAAAATCTATTAACTATTGTTATATGAAATTATTAAATATTAAAGCATTGAATTATTTAGTACTATTACTTATATTTAAACTGCCACTCTTTCCATAAAATACGCACTAAATCCTAACTATAATATTATCATATCAAGAGTATATTGATCCTCATTGCTTACAACTGTCATCAGGATTTTGATTGCATTTTCAGGGCGCAAAAACCTTTTAGTTTACAAAAAATAAGAAAAACCATAAATATTTTGTAAGATAGTAGTTTTTATATAAACTCTAATGTAACTATATTTTAAATCAAAATGGTATTAAAAAATGCTCATCAAAAAATATCTCAAAACTACAAAATGCGATAAAATTAGAATGTATCTGTATATAGGAAAAGTTTTGTTCATTTCTATCCTCCTCCATCAGCAATTTGTAATTTTTTGTTATTTCAGAACTTTATTTATAATATATATAATATATAATAAAACAGTATATATAATCTAATATTCTAATGTTAAGGATACTGTTTCCATATGTAACAGCCAAAAGAAAGATTTAATTTCATTTGTTGTAGAGTTTCTCCATTTGTTGAATTTTTACAAGTAAAAGAAACTTCTAATGAAAAACAGTTGTATGACCAAAATGAAGAGGTCTTTAAGTCTTTAAGTAAATGTTCAAAAAATATATTTATTAGATACAAAAATGTTTAAAGACAAAAATGAAGTGGACATATCAAGCAATCTTACTGTAAGCAGCTATATTTCCACACAAAACGTTTAGAGCAGTCTTAGGTGGTCGCGGTATGCATTGGTGCAAATGACATTTCTCCATAGCATGCTGGAATTTACACATAAATCCCCGTTCACTGCCGATTGGACCCACTTTATAGTCACAATAGTAACTATATGTTTTCGCAATTTCAATGCAACACTCAAGTGCTCCTTTTTCAAAAGCTATCCAAGACTTGAGTGGTAGTAGATTTATTTGTAGGTTTTGGCGAATAATACCGGTAACAAAGATATCATCAATCCAAAAGAATGGTGTCTTCTGAGCTTCTTTCGCTATGTATTTTGATGTCAATAAATTTGTTATGTAAAACCAACCAGATATATAGTCAGGATAAACACTTTCTGAATATTCTTCCATTGGAACATACCATTTGCTTGTCTTATTACGACTTGGTTTACCAGCTCTAAATAGTGCACCAGCTAAAAGTTCACTAGATGAATTGTATGTAGGATTCTTCACTAACTCGTTTAAGTAATTATGAATATGATACACATCATAGATAATATCATCATTCATTTTAATAACGAACTTAGCATTTGCACATTCATAGCCTGCCCATCGTAGACCCATGATATGTTTATAACTTAAGTTGCGGTAGCTGTCAACAAAATTTCCTTGCACTAAATCGTCAAAGCGTTTGTGTTCATGTTCCAAATGTGCCTGTTTTATGAAACCTTCTGTAGGTGGAATCTTGGCCAGCAAAAATACTCGCTGGAATCCTAACTTTGCCAATTTGCATTGCGGCATAGCCTGACGATGAGCGGTACGAAGTGCAGTATTTGTCGCAGTGGATGTGACTAAAATAATAGCTGCAAAATAAAAAGGACTTCATATTAAAAGAAAGGTAATCGAAAATAAAAAAAGTTGAGCAAGAAAGAAATTATTAATGAAAAAAAGAATATTTAAAAGTTTCTTAAAATCTGGAACATCTGGAAGTGAATAAAATAAAATAGCTCATATGAAGACGTATTAATTTTTTTTAAGTTAATGCTTAATAGGTGATATAAATTCGGAAAATTTTCGTAGACCTCTGCCAAAGAAAAGTTTGAAGGTCACACATAAATCATTTTAGTTATCTTTTCTAAAAGTAGAAAATAATGAAATCATTACAGAAGATCAAACTAGAGTCTGTTCTTTAAGTTCATAGTTTTACAAATATGAACGTCTGATGTATGAAAACGTTAAGCTTTTAAAGACAAATTTGAAGAGTGAGAAGTGGACCTTAATAGAACTTCCTAAGAAGCTAACTTTAAACAGAAAACACACATATAGAGTTCAATTTTCGAGCTCCTCTCTGAAGCAAAAGTCAACTAAGTGGTAAATTTCTTATGCTCAAAAGGCGTAAAGGATACCATGCTTACTACTCGTATATTTGTCATTAGGAAAAATAGGCAACTTACCGAGCAAGTCCTTTCCGTACATACGACATCGTTCATTGTTGAGTGCGTAATCGAAGTTTGTTAAATTCAATAATTCGCTAACATTATATGACGGTTCGATCGCTACCTGTACTTCCACATTAGGAGTTATGATATTAAATGAAATCAGCAAAAGACATGTGATGGAAAAAAGTATTAGAAATATTTTTGGAAAAATATTTGCACTATTTAAATTTGGAATAGCCATTTTATGAACGATATACTATGAACATAATTTACAAAAAAGAAAAATATTTATTTGTATTATAAGAAATAGTAAAATGATAGTTTGATTTAAAAACTGAGTTTTTAAAAAAAAAGATTTAATTCTATCCCAACTTACAAACAGGTATCTAACTTAATACAGATACAGAATATAGATTAAAGTCATTTTACTAGATGCATGTTTTTAATAGGCTACTCTTAGTATATGTATTCTTGCGAACCATTCTAGTTTTTCTTTCGATTAATAATCAAGTTATAATTTGTTATGAAATCAAAAACTGTCGTTTACATTCAACAAATTCATATTATATAATATTATCATATCATATAATATTATATTTCTTATTAATTGCTATATATGTTAAAA